ATGTGGTGCTGGAGGATCGAACCGCGGTCCCTGTGCTTTGCCAAGCTTGTTCCAAGTAGGTGCTTTAGACCACTGAGCCATCTCTCCAGCCCCAAGACCCTTACTCTTGAAAACTGTAACAAACTACATTTTCAAAATTCATCAAACCATACATTTACGATTCCATGGCATGTTAATTTCATGGCATGTTAATTATGCCACAGTTTTTTAAAACTAAAAAGGAGAAGAGGAAGAAGAAAACGGAAGAAAAAGCTTAATGAAACTTTTTAAAAGATGTTAATGTTGGCCCTCAAAAAAGGATGATAACAGGCTCCACAGATGCTGTATGATTTTTATTTTTTCCCTTTTGTATGGAAGCAGCAATATGTAACAATGAATAAAAGTCATGTCTTGCTTTTGTTATCTGCCAAAGAAGTCAACATAATTATGATCCAACTCATGTAAGTCAAGAAAAGAATCAATCTGAATTTACTCTTCCTCAGTTCAGAGTCACTCTGAGAGGCTGGAAGCAATATGGGACTAACACTATTGGTCTAGACTAATCCTTAAATCTCTCTTCCAAACAAACAATTTTGAAGCAGAATATAACAGGGAGAAATCTCTGGGTCAGATATAACTTGGGACCCTTTGAGAACTCTCTTTTCTACCTTCCTGAAAATTTTTACACACAACCTGGAAAATCCTCCATTTGTGGAAAGTCATGGAAATGCTCACTTTTAATTCTTTTGAAAATATTAAAGCACTACCACATTAGACTCAAGGACATACAAAACATGATAGCATCCCTTGAAAATAACCTGAAGATTTAAGAAAAATACTGTTTATTTTATATAGTGGAAATTATTTCATCAAGAATATTAAAATTGGATAACTTCATTTAACTGTTCTAATGCAGAAAATAGGGTGCTAGAGTTGTTAAAAAGGAAAAAGTCACAAACGCAAATGTTCAAAACCATTGGCTACAGCCATCATTTCCTGACATTGGCAAATATCATGTTACCCTATGCTGCTTAAAAACAAACTCAAAATACAAAACATATACAAATCAACTGATTTGGACAAAAAGAAGGGAAACAGAATAGAAGCAATCAGTTAGGACATACAGGCCCAGATAGATAGGTTAGAAACAGGGAGAGGAGAGGAGAGGAGAGGAGAGGAGAGGAGA